ATGTTTGAGTCATATTTTCACCCCTAGAATTTATTCTGTATATAAAGTTATTTGCACATAAGTGGGCATTTATATAATGGTGTCTATTACCACATTGCTCAGAGTAACAAAAGATGAAGAACTAATAATATTTACCATATATTGGTATTTGCCATGTATTACATAATTTAGTGCTTGCCATGTAGTAAGATTACAATGAAAATTAGAAATTAACAGAATGATGATGAAAATATTTGTCAAATCTCATGAGAGGTAATCTAATCTGCATAGAAGATATATTTTTTATAAATTTATAGCTTACAAAATGCTTATATTAGGAAAGAAAACTGAAAATCTGTGATCTATTTCAAAAAGTTAACAAATCAAAAGAGCAGGAAAAATAAAGAACTTAATGAGACTAAAAACAGTAGAATAACAATACCCAAAAATTATTTTTGAAAACACAATAAAGCAGATCAACTTTGTCATTTTGACCAACAAATAAAGCCTGTATTACCAGTATGAGGAATGAAAGAAGGGTTCCATCGCAGCTGTGTGGTTGTTGAAAAGACAGGCGGTGAGAGGAGTGAGGTAAAACTCTTCCGAAAGGAGGAAGAGCCCTCACCGTGTCTCCCGGGCCTCCCGGGCCTCCCGGTGCCAGGCTAACACTGAACCTGGGCAAGCACAGTAAAAAGGAGAGCTTGCTGGCACACCTCTTACGTGATTATAGATATAAAAGTAAGCCCAGCAGTATATTAAAAATACATGTTACATAGCAAGGGAATACATTCCAGGAGTGACATTGTGGTTTAAAATTTAAAATAATGTAATTTGTCATATTAACAGAATTAAAGAGGAAAATTAAGCATTTCAGTGAGTGGAAGGTTTATTTGACAATGAAACCTTCATTCATGACTTTAAAAAGACACTTTCAGCAGACTTGGAGTAGAAGAGAATTTATTTAATCTGATTAACAGCATATACAAAAAAAAGTGCACAGCAAATGCCATGGCTGTGAACTGTGCGATGTGCCCTGAATGAGAGAATGAATGAGAGGGAGGGATGCCGGTCATCACTGCTTCCCTCCACCTTGTGCTAATGGGTCCTAACGGGGCAGCAGGGCAGGAAGATGGAAGGTAAACAAAGGAGGGGTAGAATCATCAAGTTTGTCTGCGATTGCATTGATTTGTCTTTCTACTTGCAAAGTAAGGCTCCCGTTACTTGGCAGGTCCAGACTCACCCCGACTTCAGCAGAGCCTCTAACATGTGAATGAAGACACCTAGACCGCCAGGCTTCTTAGAGAAGAAGAAACCCTAAGGAAAGGCATTTCCCGAACCCGTCTTTCTAGTCTTCATTCATTCCTCCTCCAAATCCCCACACAGAGAGGTGACACAGAGTTTGGCTTGCACTCCTTTCCTCTTCCCTTTCTTCTCGCTAACACTTAAATCCGGGTGTTGCATGCCCAAACTGGATTATTTAAAGGCTTAACAAAGAGAAAGGAATCTGAGCATAATGTGATACTTAAGTAATGTTCCTTCTGATTTATTTTCCTAAGTTATGAGCAAATGACCATGGTACATGAGCAATTTTTAAAAAACGTTGAGGAGTCTGAGTGTCTCATCTTTGTTATTTTGGGGGCCTGTGGATTTATTTGACTCGTCTGGACATTGTGTTTCAGTGCTTACACTGTGTAAGTTGTTTACTGTTTTTCACAGCCTTACTAACTGGTGAGAATTTTGCCTAAACCTGAAATGATAGGAAAAGTCCCTTTGAGAAATGACAAATGGTAGATCAAGCCAAAGAATTTTTTTTTTAAAAATCAGACCTTTCGGGGCTGGGGATTTAGCTCAGCGGCATAAGCACCTGCCTTGCAAGCAGGCGGTCGCGAGTTCGATCCCTGGTACCGATAAAAATGAAAAAGACAAAAAAAAAAAAAAAAAAAAAAAAAAAATCAGACCTTTCAGAAATAATAGGAAAACTTCTCAGAAGATACATTGCATGAGACTCAGCTATTTCCATGTCTCCCATGAAATTAAGAAAGGAAATTTTCTACTTTGGTTTTTTTCCTCCAAGATCTCAGTAAATTAACACTAAATAGGGAGGGTTTTTTTGTTTGTTTTAAAGAAGGGTACACAGTCCATAACGAAAAGTGGAACACGAGGGGAGTTAGCAAACCTTGGGACTTTGGGAGACACAGTAAATGTGACAGAACCTGAAACCAGCTGTGAGGAAGCCGGGACCCCTGTGAGCAAGCACCCTGAAACTTCTGAAGGCTGTAGGCCTGGGTGCCTGTGGGAGTGGGGCAGACTGGTCACAGTCTGATAAGGAAGAACTCAGTTCCCCCGAGCCTTGCCTTATCCCCAAAGGTTGGGCAAGTGTTCCTTCCCCACCACGGTAAGTCCTGAAGTTGGCTCCAGGGAGCGAGCTGGAACTGGGCTCCAGCTCCATGCTGCAGGCAGGGGTTGGCAGGGCGCAGTGCTGGGATTCGTGGCCCTTCGTCTCCCTGACGCCCAGAGTGCTCCAGTCTCTTAAGCCGGCAACCAGAGCTCTTTCCCCAGAGAACTCGAGTTCAAGAGCAAGAACCATTTTCTGTGGCCCGGCCAGATAATCCTCAGCAAGGCTGCGGTCAGACTCCACACACACTCTGAGGGCACGTGGGGCTCTTCATCCCCACATGTACAAGTGCCAGCAGACCAGGGAGCAGAAGCAGTTGGCCCTGATGGAGCCAGCTTGTGGTCTGAGAGGGTGGGACAAACAGAGGGCCACTAGGGTACAGGGACAGCACAGTGAAAAGAGCACTCGTAAAGCCCTGAGAGGACAGTGGGGCTTATGAGCGCTTTATTTTCGTAAGTAAAAGTTTTCATCGTAATATTTTAAACTCATAACAATGAAATGTTGCAAAAGTAACATATGACTTTTTTGGAGTATAGGTCAGTAAAAGAGTTCAAGAAATTAGAAATATAATAAATAAACACTCAAAAGATTTAGACATTAAATAAGTTCCTGGAAAGGAGAACAGACAGAAGTTGGTTTCTAAACTCAGTTGAATATTATATCTAATCAAATTATCAGCCAAATGTGAAGCCTGTATTTGTGAGTTCTTGACACCAGAACTGAGTATCTGGGGTGATCATCTCTGGGTCATTTTGGCTCACAGATTTGAACTTCTGGTTCCAGATTGGTTGGCCCCATTGCTTTGGGGCCACATCATTTTAGGAACAGGTAGCAAGGTAAAGCCAGTCACTCAGGTCAGGAAGCTAAAGTAAACCAAGGAGGCCAAGGCCCCATGGTTCCCTCAGGGGCATCGCAAGAGAGTTAAAGACCCCAGCAACACCCACAGCCACCAAGCTCCAGCCTGTGGGCCTTTGGAGACTTTTAAGATCCAAATGGAAGCAAGCCCGAGGAAGAGGCACCAGCAGGTTGGGGAGATTTCCAGCACCCTTTCTCAGGGAACTGCTGGAGACCTGCGTTAAAAGGAGGAGAAAAGGGGTGGTATGGGAACACGACTACAGTTTGGGAGTCCAGACCACCAGGATGACAGTGGGGGACTTCATAGTTTGAAAACTAGCTGTTGAATCCAGAGTCTGGGTGAAATTTTAAATTAAGCTTTGTTTGAACATGGCTCTGCACATTTGTGTCTGTGTTGTCTGTGGCTGCTGTCATACCATAAGGCCCAACTGAGTGGGGTGGCATATACCAGGCAACTAACCTGCCAACCCAGAAGACTTTCTGCCTGGTCCTTTAGGAAAAGATGCGAGCTGGTCTAGAGAGCTGATTCTAGACAGTTGGCTGAGAGCTTGTGGTTGAATTACATATATGTATGTAGAAAATTAAGCAAATGAACAGCAGTGTAATTGCTTAATCTGTTTTTTTTTTCTTTTTGGTGCTGAGAATTGAATTCAGGACCTTGCACTTGCCAGGCAGGTGCTGGATCACTGGGCTATATCCCTGGCCCCTAATCATTTAATCTGGGAAAATAAAAACTGAGCAAGAAGGGAAAGTAGCCATGGTTTACTGCATGAGTTACAGGCCTGACCTGTAGCTTCGAATATGCTGTCTGCTGCATTTACGCTGCTGGGGTGGCGTGAAGGACGTGCACACGTGGCAGCAGGGAGAAAGCGGAGAAGTGGAGGCCTAAACTGAAGAGGAAATGCAAGGATGGCTGGCTGGCGGGATTGGCTGGCAGAGGCGACCCATCCCAGGAGCGGGGAGAGGGACAGGAACGACATTTTTATACAAACCTTCTGTTGGCTTTAAGCTGTGTATCTTTGACAAAGTAATTAACACACAAGAAAACAAGACACTTCCAAGGTCAGCAGCTGCACAGTCTGCGTGCTGCCCTTCCCTCACGTCCATGGTGTCATCAGTCATTCCAAGTGCGTTTTCTGTTGACTCAGACGTGGGCCCAGCATCTTCAGAACAGCGCTTCTGCGTCCCCGCTCAGTGAAGTTATCCCTGCTCAAGAAACCCGAGTCTCTGGTCTGACTCTACCCGGGTGGCTGAATGGGTTCTGATTGAGCTACATTTCAAACTTCCATCTGTTCTCCATAACTGTTCCCACTTAAACCCATGAATGTAGAAAGACATACTTTTTCTCAGTAATTATTCAAAGATACAGGGCAGTTTCAAAGTTTATTTCAGCATCTAGGATAGGGCGTAACACATAATAATCTAGTGAATGTTTTAATGAATGTATAAAATGAAGTCTATTGAATAATAAGTTTTAAAAAGCAAACAGGCCCATAAAAATGAAAAAGACCAAAAGGGGGGGGGGGCTGGGGATTTAGCTCAGCGGCATAAGCGCCTGCCTTGCAAGCAGGCAGTCGTGAGTTCGATCCCTGGTACCGATAAAAATGAAAAAGACCAAAAAAAAAAAAAAGCAAACAGGCCTTTAAAAGCCAAACCAATCCTTGCAAAAGCTAAGTTTACTTGGCTTTTCATTATCAAAGCCGTTTTGTGATTGAGTGACTTTCCCTTCTAATTGAAATAGTTTTTGTCTTTTTTATTTTTCTCTCAATAGGATTTTTCCAGTTAAGGATGTGCCCCTGGAGACTGAGGACCTTACCAACTGGCTCTATCAACGATTTATTGAAAAAGAGCACCTCTTAGCCCATTTTTATGAAACAGGTACATAGTCTTTTCTGTGGTATGCATTTCTAAAGTTACTGGAAATTCCAAAGGCTTACTGTAGGGGAGAGAACCATTTTTTCTTTAGGTACCCCCAAGAAATCAGAATGTTTCTATATGTAAGAATTTCAGCTTAGAATTCTTGTAAAGGCCAACCTGTTCTTGCCAGCCTATATACAAGGCCAGTGGGACAGGCAGGCACCCCTGGGGCGGGATGTGGCTGGAGGGGTCCATGGGAGACCCATTGGTGAGTGGAGGTGGCCAACCACTCACAGCCATGGAACTTCTTAGAAAGTAGCAAGGAACATTCATGTTTTGACAGCTCACTGGGTCATGTAAGTAACCTATTAGGCATTTGAGGTCCTTTTAAACTGTGTTTTTACAGGGTATATTTTTTTCTTTACATGAATATCCATTTTTTTATACTTTGGTTTCTCTTCAGATTGTATAAAGCTTTCTCACGTTTTTACATAGTGTTCACTTTTTAAGTTTTCATGGATACAAACCTAGTCTTTTTCTCCTTTAAATAAAGAAGTCTATCCTAAGCTCCCTTCTGTTTTTATAATATTATCTGCATTCTATACAAACTAAAAATTCTATAAAATGCCTCAGGCGTGGTGGTGCACACCTGTAATCCCAGCTACTTGGAAAGCTGAGGCAGGAGGATGACAGATTGGAGGGGAGCCTGGGCTCCATAGTGAGCTTGGACTCAAAGTTCTGTTAAAAAGTGCAGGGGAGATAGAACCGCGGATCAGTCCTCCGTATCACACACAGACAAAAATTCCTACAGTGCAGTAAGAAAACCATGGAGAGAGGGAGAGGAGAGGAAAAAAGAAAGGAAGTAACACTGGTGAAGTGGCCGGCATGATCCTGAACTGCTGTATTCTTCTAGCACTAAGCAGGGATCCCTGCCCAGCTAAACACAGCATTCTGCGGCCACAGTCAGAGGCCGAGAAGCCCGGGGCCACTAAGAGGCCAGCGAGGGCCCACCCTTTCACCAGTCTCACTCAGGCTGTCGGCCCTAAATTGCAGCAACAGTAAAGGAAGCCTCTTTTTCAGAAGCTATTCGCATGTTAGATCTGGCTACCTGGAAGAGCCTCTGTAAACGCCTGTGGGTAGCAGCTCCCCTGGAGCAGCTGTCTTGGGGTTGTCTGCGTGGCGGAGCCAGGGAGTAGAGACCCCAAGTGGGGTTGCTCGGAAGCTGCCTCTCAAGAGAAAGTGCGGAAGCCTCTATTTACTTCATATTTCTCCTTTTTATTATTAAGACATTTCATAACCATTCTACCTTTTGAAAATAATGTCAGTATAACATAACCACTTCTTGTAGGAAAAAAAAAGCGCTTGTAAATAAAGGGACCAGTGTAAATTCTGCTGTTTTAGAAGGGGCTTGGTGTCATGTCATAGAACACGGGTGGAAATTGCTGGGGCTTCCTGAGCAGCAGGAGAGCCCCTGCTGGTGTGCTGATAGGAGGTGGTCCAGGAGAGCAGCAGAGAAGCGGTTCCAGGAAGGAAGCAATCCCAGGGGCGGGTGTGTTTTCCTGTGGGGAGGAAAGGGACAGCCCTGGGCGCTCCAGGTCGAGGTCCAAATGACTCCTCTCTTCAGGAGCAACAGAAAGTCACAAAAAACCATCCTGCAAGTTAGACTACTACCATAGTGTATTCCAGGAGACCGCCCCACAGGGAAATGTTTCTGTGTTGTCTTTTAGGAGCCTTTCCTCCTCCCGAGGGCCACAAGGAAGCCATTTCCCGGGAGATGACCCTCAGCAACGTGTGGATCTTCTTCATACAGTCTTTTGCGTTTTTGTCAGGCTATATGTGGTACAGCGCCATTCAGTATTTTTACCATTGCCTGTTTTAGATGCTGACTCAGACTTGTCATAGGAGTTTAGACTTTCCTAAGTGTGCATTATTTACATGTGCAAATCAGAACATATAAAGAAAAGCAAAGGAAATTCCATGGATGGATTACTATTTAACCCCCTTTGGGATATTTTAAAATTCTGCTAAAATGAAGATCAGTAATATAATGACCTGCTAATATATTTTAAGAACTTTTCATGTCTTCAAGCGATACACTTGACCACATATTTAAGCGAGCATCACATCTGGAGAAGCAAAATCATAAAACCATCCTGGAAGACTGAAAGAAGCTCTGTGACCACCAGCTACTATTGGTCATTGGGTTCCAGTGCAGGGGTTGTGTCCACCCCTCCCAGTAGATGTCTCTCAAGCTGGGCTCTGCAGGGCCCATCCCACAGCCATGTGTGCCATCGCTGTTGCAGTGAGCAGATCTGGGCCACCTCCAGAGGAGCAGATTCAAACTCCAGCCCCCAGCCCCAGGCCGAGGAACAGCACCAATCTGCTCCAGGGGATGGCATTGTCCACCAATCTCGTCCTGGCACAGGACACGTTCCCGGAACCAGTGCAGCCCAGCGCGTGTTTACATGTGCCAGTGCTTTCTCTTCCTCGGGGCAGGAGGCCCGTTCTCTCCTCTTGTGTAGAAGGCATATCATAGATTGATCATTGTATTTTACAAAATGCACTTTTATCAGATGCAGCTATAGCCAAGGATAGTAACGTACCCTGAAAACACAAGTGAGCCTCAGCAACGAGCTGGCTCCCAGAGGCCTCCCTGTGTCTCCCACTCACCTGCAGGTGCTTCCGGTGCCACCCTGCCCTGCACCCCTCCCGTCGCGATGCCTCATTTGTAGCTAGAGCCCCCTCCCCACTTGACATAGCACTAAATACATTTGGGGATGGTTGACACAAACTAATGCAAAACATTTACGTGATCAGCTTCTGGGGAATAGATTAGTTTATTAGGAATCTAAGATCTAGAGCCAAACACGAGACTGGAGCAGTGACGAGTTCTCATGCTATAGCTGCCGGCTCTGGCCAGTCCCATGTGCCAGTCGTTGCATCCACGCCCTCTCCTCCGTGCAGGCATAGCCAGGAGAGAGTACGAAAGGGGTTCTGGCCTCGGCCAGCTGCTGGTGAAGAGGATAGAGGCAAGCCTCGGTTCTTTCCAGGACACCTTTTTTCTGTCGCCCTGTTCACCTGATTTACTTCACAGGAGAACCAGACTCCAGAAAGTGCTGGCCCTGGGTTAGCATTGAGATCGAAGACGCCCTTTGGCTGAGATCTGTCTGTCAGTGCAGTGTAGTTTTCTGTAATGAGAGCACTGCAGGCTCCCTTGTTGTCACTAATCTCACAGATAATAATTCTGAGAAGTAGGCTGTGAAACCAAACGGCCCCTGCTTTCTGTTTTCAGATAAACCAAAAAACTGAGATGTGAATCTTCCCTAGTCAGGTGGGAAAGGTGGAGCAACACCAAAAAAGCTGTCAGCAGCTTCGTCTGTAGGGTAACTGCGCATGCGTGGGACAGCGGGACACTGAAATACCTCACGAAATGTTCACTGCTGCTAGCCTGTGGCGACAGTGTTAACATGATGCTTGCTAACAGTTGCTATGAAACGTAGTGTGTTTGAAGCCAGAGCATTGGTTATGTGTTCTGCAGTGACGGTAAGGGAAGCCAGTCTCACCAGATGACAGAAGGCCAAAGAGAAGCTGCCCACACTGCTGTTTGAGGCGGCACACACCAGTCGTTTCAGGAGGAGTTGGGATTGTCTGTTGGAAGCATTAGTCTGGGGAGAATTTGTTCCCTGTTGAGTAAGCATGTGCAGTCCTAGCTGCTGGTCCAGTCCTCACCGTGAAGCCACCCACAGGCAGGGTGGCCACTTGTGTCCTAAAAACGCATCCACACTCATGTACTGGGGGCTCAGCACTGGGCCATCGCTGTGCTCCGCAGGAGTGTGATGCCACTTGGCTGCTGTGCGTGGTCAGCTCCCTGTGGGGGCTCGACTTTTCCAGGGTACGTCACTCCCGTCGTCTCCAGAGTGACAAACACGTACCTACATGAGGTGGTTTTTGAACATAGATCTGTGAATCGTGAACAGAAGTGTAGCTGACCTGCCCTACTCTTCTTCCTTTCTTTCTGAACGTGCTCTGTCTCTTCTGTTTGCAACACGTTACCTGAGAACAGTGGTTTTCCTCACCTGACTGGTGACCAGAGCTCAGCCTCTTGGGCTGGGAGCCTGGGGAGAGAGTCAGTGTTCTTTGTTGGTGGGGGTCACAGGGAGGACAGCAGGGGCCGCTGTGCAGAGTGCGTTCAGCTCCTGTCTGTACTTCCTTTCTACAGACAGATGAAAGGAGGCTTTATGTCTTGTTAAGGCTAAAGGAAACTGTCCCCAGTTCGCAGAGGTGGCCAGGTAGGATCGAAGCACTTCTTAGCCCCAGCTGGACAGCAGGAGCTGTGTACTGGCTGCTGAAGTCCTGGTGTCAGCAGGTGACATGGTTGAGGACCTGCTCAGCCACAGGCAGGCCCAGTAACTGCAAATGTGTCCAAAGCAGCAGCTTACCCTAGCTCCAGAAAGAGCTGTTTGTGTTGAGACACACCTGTGATAAGGACACCCAGCAATGCAGAGGAGCCACGGAGTGGGGACTGACATTTGGGAGACAAGCAGGTCAGCTGAGGATTCAGATAGGTGTTTTAGAAAGGTAGCTGAGAGTTCATGTCTGTCATATTAGTAAACAGTTACATTACAACCAGTCCTTAATTTTACCATGGTAAAGCAACTACACATTATGCATAATTATTTACCTGATAAATAGAGAGTAAGTCAGGGAAGCCAAAAATTCAGTTCTATGCAGGAGCTTGAACTTCTTTCATCAGGCTTTTTTTTTTCCTTCTAGAAAGACGCTTACATTAAAAAATGCTTTGATTGCTCATTAATTTCTCTTGCCCACTTAATTAAGATTGTGTTATTGAGTAGTGAAAGGACATGGAAATGGCAAATCTCAAGCAGTAAATGGGCTGAGAAAGGAATCCCTGGGTCATCAAGAAGTGTGGAACCAAAACTGTTGTGAGCCCTTTGTGCAGTTGAAACCACAGATTCCCCACTGTCACCTCGGAAAGTCACTGTGGTGTCTCCCCCCTGGACAGGTGTGGAGAGGGCCACTCGGGCTCCACTCGTGTTGCGCACCTCTTGTGGGTTTGTCTTGGTGATGTTGTTGACAATCACTTCCCTAAAGACTTCTGAGCTAGTTGGTCTTGATTATAATCATAGAAAGCAGTCTTTAATTATGGGTTGTTTTCCTGTGCTCTTTTTATATTTAAAAAGAAAATGTTTTATTTGCACTACTGAATAGGAAGGGTTAACTGTTTCCTTTGTTCTTTTTTTGAAGTCACTACACAGGACTTCACTCCAGAGTTACCACTGTATGAATATTCAGCTCTCACACAAACAAAAAACAAAACAAATATGTGTATCTGCCTGCAGTGCTGTGGCCTTCCATCTGTAACATGCAAGGTGGAGTCTGTAGGGGCACTGGGTACTGGGTACAGCAGTTCCTTTTATGAGAAGTAGAAACTAATAAGTTTGGGACCAAAACCACCTCTGCTGGAAGTTTCTTGATCATGAAGAGTTGAGCGCACACTGCAGCAGTGATTGGTTGGTGCTTTATTGGAATCTTTATTTCGTGCCAGTCCCCAGCAACTAGGAGCTGGACCCTGGCAACACACTGAGAGTGCTGATCTGTCCGGGAATGGGGACTGTAGCCATACGGAGGACAAAATGTGGGGCTTTCTGCAAAATTTCCATCTGAGGATTTTTACATTAAATATTTTTTTAAAATGCTTTAAAGAGCAAAAGAAATTTTAAGGATATTCTAATTGCAAAATATGCACACACTTGAATTGCTTTATTTTTGTGTAAAATTGTTGACACATGACTGTGGTACACAAATTCTTCACTTGTAAGGAGTCTATGCATTTTACAGGAACTTGTTTTATGATCGGGTAGTGAGTTATACATTCACCTGCCGTTTTATTAAGTGCTTTCATTTTCTTTACAGTCATTACAGAGTTGTACTTATTTTATACAGATGGATTCTCATGTTCCTGATGCTGTCATGTTTACTTCAGCTTCTGACCTTTCTCTGTGTCTGCATGTTGTAATGTGTGATGAGAATGAATGTAAAGGCTGTGGCAGCTGAGCCGATAGCTGTAAGGGCTGGTCACACGTGGGTCCGGATTAGAAATGCATGTGGGGTGATTTTAGGAACCAGATCACCTTTTCAGAAACTGAGATGCGAACCAAAAGCAAAGAATAGATAGCTGGTTCCTTTTTTTTTTTTACCTAGAGAAAATAAAGTTGATTTTTTTCAAGTGTGGCGCTTTTACTTCTCATCTCGGGGCCAGGGAGGCTGTGTTGTATGGAGCTCTTTGGGCGTTAGCAACTGGGAGCCTGCGGTTGGGGCCCTGTGTGCGGGGCGGCCAGGCCAGCTGGAACAGCAGGTGCAGAAACGCGGGCTCCTTTGCACACAGCGGGGTGCTGGCACTCATGCTCACCGTCCCTCCCCGGCAGTGGTGTGCTGGCCGGAGCCTGGCATTCTGATGGCCTGGAAAAAGCTATGTGCACACGTGTGTGTGAAGTCATTACAAAGTTTACTGATAACAAAGATATATGACAACCAGTAACAACATAAATATTTTATTGTAAATTCCACATACCCTCTTGAGTCTCATCAGATACCTAACTGCTTTTTGCTGAACCTTACAACCCTTGGTTGCATTTCAACCGCGATCCGAATGACCGTGTGGCCTCCTAATGTACTAACTCGTCTCCAGGTGAATTCACTCTTAGCTGCATATCTGATCTGTAAAGCTCTGTTCCTTGGTACTGGGGACTGAACCCAGGGCTTCACGGACTCTAGTGGTGCCACTGAGCTGTGTCCCCAGCCCCAAGCTCATCTGGTCCTTGTATGAAGCCACTTTTTAGCTTTGGCACTAATTCAAGCTTACATAGTTTAGGGACAGTTGTTTAACTGCTGCTGGTAAATTGGCTCCCAAGGGTGAGTAGAGGCTGTCTCCAGCACACCACTGCCCTGGTCTGCTTTGTTTTAAATTAAACTGTTTAACTTGGTGTTGAGTGAACTCTCACAGTTAATTTACCCATGGATCTGAGAAAACCCCTATGACTGGCCTTGAGGGTCGCTCTAAGAGGTGGGAAGGTACTAAGATCACCCCTAGTGAGCTGGTTGTGAGGAACCTGACAAGAATGAACCCTCCTGCAGTACAGCAGTGTCTGGAGCTAGCTTAATGTCTTCATGTCTCAGCGCCCAGTAACTGTGGTTTGAGCCTCACCAACATCTCCTTCCATGCATGTAAGCATTGAGTGTTTAGTTACTTGTCAAGTTGTTTAGTCCCACTGATAATTTTCAATGTGTTCATTTACCTTGCATACTCTGCCAAATGATTTCAATAGTTACAGTTCAGTCTACCTCTTTTCCTGTCTGGACTGAGGCTGCTGTGGTGGCGAGGTCTGTGTCCCCAGGAGTACCTTCTGTGGAGCCAGAACGCACTGGGGCCAAGGCCTGAAAGCAAAATGACGCGCCCGGAGATCTGTTGCTGACCAGCCCTATCCTCGTGGACTGGGGACCCACTGTTTATAATTCCCCCTCAGTATGAAATGTGTGTTTTTAAAATGTTTCTTCCTGCTGAAAATGTATTTTTAAAAGAAAAAAGTCTTTTGGCTCTCAAAGTCAGCTGTATGAGCAGGCGTGACCATATCGTAATATGCTGATACGATAGAAATCAATAAATTTTTACCTCTCAGGACTCGGGTCACCTGTGTTTAACTCTGGGTGGCTTGGAAACAAGCTGAATCTCCAGTTGAGGTCAAATGGGACCAGACAACGGGAATGCAGGAGGAGCTTGGCGACCCCAGAAATGAGACAGACCCCTTTTGTAATTGGAAAAAAGATTCCCCACTGGGGAGGAGCCGTGGCACACAGCCACATGCAGGAAGACTTAAGCCGGAGTCTGGCACAGTGCGCCCAGCCCTGGGTCCTGGGCCTCGGGACTGCAGGACAGAGGGTGCGGCAGCGGCTGCTGGTACCTGCGGCAGGGGCCACGGGTGGGCCCGGACACCACTGCTGTCCACCCATCGGGCTGTTGAGAAATGCAGGGCTGTGACATCAGGCCTACAGTCTCAGTTGTGGGAAGGAACCAGGCCGGAGCTAGGGAGGTTGGCTACATGCTCCATCCTGAGAGGGCCACCCCAAAAGGCCCACCTCCCGCTTTAGGCAGCTGCTCCTTTGCAGGATACAGGGGCACCTCAGGCACCAGGCACCTCCAGGAGTCCCAGCAAAGGACATGTCCCCAAGTGCTGCATTTAAACCCTCTTAGAGGCATCACAGGGCCTTTGCCTCTCCCTGACACCCTGTCTAGTAAGGAACAGGGGTGGCACTGAATCTGCTGATTTTGGCAGCTGTTGCCTGGGACGGTGAGGGCTCCCAACAGTTCGCAAGTCCAGGTCACCAAGCCTAGGGCACTGGCCAGGGCCGCGGTTGCTGCTGCATTGGTTTGGTTAAAGCGAGTCACAGGGCCGCCCAGATGCAGCTGTGGACCCAGCAGGCTGGCTGCCTGAGAGCTGTCACAGGGAGACACTCCCCAGCTGTGAGAAGGAAGCCTGAGCTGAGTCCAGAGGAGCCTCACGCTCTGACAAGCTTGCCCACAATTTTCATTAGTTGGAAATATTTGCATTTCCCAGTACTTTAAGAAAATTAGATCTCGTAAGTCACATGGACACCCACCTAAAAATGGAAGCATTGGAAGTAGGGGATGAGGTAGGGTCCTGCCATGCAGTTAGGCTGACCTTAAACTCACTGTATAGCTCAGGCGGGTCTCAAACTTTCCTGATCCTCTTGCCTCAGCCTCCAAAGTGCTGGAATTACAGGCATGCGCCACCACACCCGGCTGATCTTTTATTATTTTTTATAACGAATCCAACTCATTGACTCTTGGAATTTCAGAACTAGTAGCACTTCAGGAATTGCCTTATTTTCAGGGTGGTGGGTATGATCCTAGTACTGTTAAGAAAAAAAAAAAAAAAAAAGAACATGGGAAGAAATAGCACCAAGAAGGTTTAGGGGGCAGTTTATTACACCAATGTGCTTGACTGGGATCTCTCCCAAAAAAGTCCCACCCAGCAGGGGTTTTGAGGGGGAGGTTATGGGAATATCAAGGGACAGGTACAGAGGCAAGTTTAGTGCGTTATGATTGGAGGGCTGGTGACATCACGGGTTGCTGAGGAAGTTTATACTCAAGTCACATTGCAAGGCCATCAGTTACACAAGCATGGGTTACACAGCGGAGGGAATGTTCTGTTATCAGGCTTGTCCGGATAGGGCCATGTCTACCTGGTCTTGGTGGGCATCCTTGGCAGACTTATTTAAAATTTTAATTTCCCATTCAGTACAATTTTGGCTTGTTGCTGGTGGCATCAAATAGAATTACATGTATTAAAACCAGCTCTCTTGCTTCCCATATATTTCCCCAAATTAGAAAACTACCTCTGTTCAGGTGTTTCGTTTTGGTAACAGTTAAATATCAAGGGTTGAATATAATCATTGAAAGAGTTAAGGTCTGCGATAATTTCCTCTTCCTCCTTTAAAGTGTGCGCGGTAATCCCACAGCCCTACAGGATACTTGTGTTCCCCCAATGTTGTGAAGGTATTCAACTAATTTTTTAAAAAATCTGAAAACCATGATTTTTAAAAATCTTTTTGGACATAGAAATGAAATACATTTGGTTTTGCCCTGTGCAGTAGCAGGTGAAGAGAATGGCATCATTTCATACAGGAGGGAATAGATCTCAATCATACTAGTTCCTGTTTATTTTCTGAGTTTCAGATAGGGAACTGGCAGTGGGTGAAATCCTCAGCTGTGACTGCATCCACTGCCCGTGTATCTTTCCATCATTGCACCATTAAACTCAAGGTCTTGGCTGGCATGAGGGTAGCAGCAACTCAGGAGGCTGAGGTGGGAAGATTGCCAGTGGAAGTCTGGCCTGGGCACCTCAGCTGTCCCAGGGAGCATCTCGGCAGTGGAGAGTTTGTCTAAACGCAGAGGCCCTAAGTTATGTCCCAGCACCAAGGGGCCGTGGGGCAGGGGGGCAGCGGCAAGGTTTTGTCCAACCACGACCGCACAGCAGAGCCCGAGGTTGAGTCCCTGAGTTTGAATCCTACCTCTGCCCATCAGCGAAGCCATCAGCCTCAGCCTTGCTCTGCAGTGTTTCCAAAGGGAAACTTTCAGTTCTTGTCAGGACTAAGACACCACCAGCCAGGTGAGCACATGGTGTCCCTCGGCGCCCGTGGTTTGCAGCAGTTGCAAGTCGGTCCCGTGCTCATCCTCTCTGAACTTAAGCTCCATGCCCCACTCCGTCCAATCCCGTCCTCACTGCCGTGGGGCACTCACGCCCACCGGCCTTTTTTCCAGAGCTCTGCCCCAGCAAAGGCAACCAGCCTTTGGTAGGTAGATAGAAGCAACCAGCAAAGCCCAGCACTGTAACTGGTAATCAGAGGCCCTCAAACAGCTGCAAGAAAGTGATTTCCAGTGGGAGCAGCAGTTAGGGAGGACTGACCCACCCTAAAGACATCAGAGCTGCTGGCCCGAAGCCCTTGCAGTCCAGCAGGGACGGCTTTTGCTTCTGAGACCCGATGTGACTCACAGTGAAGATCATGAAGTCATAATCCAAAGGAGGGGAAATGTAGTTGCTGGTGTTTGGAGGCTGTCCACCAGCCCATGGCCCTGCATAATTCATGTGAGCCTAAATATAAAACTTGGCGCTGGGCGGGGGTACAGCTCAGCGGGGCAGCACCTGCCTGGCAAGTAGAGCTTGGCCCTGAAAAGCATTCAGGAACGTAATGCGTTTTTCCTTGGTAGTTACTCTCCAAAGTTTCTTTCTTTCTTTTTTTTTTTTTAAAGTAAAGTCTGGCTATGTAGCTTATACTTCTCTTGAACTCACTATGTAGCCTCTAGGTTGGACTCAGACTCTCAGAAAGCCTCCTGCTTCAGCCTCCTGAGTGCTGGAATGACAGGTATGAGTGTCACCACACTCAGCTTTGAAGTTTGTATCTTGAGATTGGTCATTTTTGTCTTCACGTGGTACGTGCTGGGTACTCAACTCTTGAGAGTCGAGGTGCCAGAGAATCCAAGCCTGCTCATGGGGATGGAGCGGGCATTTACCCAGTGGACGGACAGAAGACAGGGAGGAGACATGGCATTAGGGAGACTATCTGTGGTAGTGCCGAAGGCTGGGGCAGGGTCGTTCCCTTGAGCCTCCCTAGAGGAGACAGAAGCCCTGGAGGCCCAATGCGACCCTAGTGCTTCGGGTCAGCGCTGGGGAGTCCTCAAGGCTTCCCCGGCCACCTTTCCTGGAAACTGAGTTGCTACCCCAGCAGCAGCCACGTCATCCCGGACAGAAGAGGAGAAGCACGCACAGGCTGCTGGTCAGCCGGCTGGAATGCCATTGTCCCAGCTCTCAGGAACTTTGGGAACGCAGGTGCAGTGGTGCTGCGAGCGGGGCCTTCACCCCCAGGGGCACCCGGTTGCCTGCTCAAATCCTCCTTCCCAGTCAGCCTGGGCAGAGGCCTGAACTCTGCAGAGCCTTGTGCTCCGCAGGCTCATGGGCAGCAGCCAGATGGGGACGGGTATTATCACTGGGGGGCGGGGTGGGCGCAGCAGGAGGGCGGGGTGGGCACAGCACTGCTGGGCAGTGGCCTCAATGGTCCCTCCAGGCCTGCCTTGGTGGTAGAGCGCTGGGTTTGCTCTTGCGCCCAAATGAGCCTTGATTGACCTAGAATCGCTCTCCTGAGCCAGTGATTGACTGATCAGTAATGCAGCCTGGCCAATAGAATCTAAGGATCATTGGCTAGCAGCTCCTGGGAAAATTTTCTGCCAATCACTGGCTCCCCGGTACCTTCAGTCCCCTGATGCTAAGGACCTGAGCTGCATAGCGCCAAGTGCACCAAGCTACCCAGACCCCACTACCCACACCTTCCTGTTTGAGTCGTTAAAGCTGCAGCTGTGAAGCTGGACCCTGGAGCAGCCACAGCCATCTGGTGAGACAGAAGATGGCTCATGCCTGGAATCCCAGCACCGTGGGAGGTTGAGGCAAAAGGATCACAGTTTAAACCCTGTCTCAAAAACACTCTGGAGATGTACCCTTGTGCAAAGGTCCTCGGTTCAATCCCCAGTACTGAAAATAACTAAATAAACAAGTTAGTACATAAAGCCAGGAACAGCTTGGGAAAACTCAGGCTACTGAAGGAAGGCCTCATGGTGAGCGCCACTGACAGACAGTACTCCACTCCCAAGAGAACCGAAGATAAAGTAACTACAGCTGCCTTGGAAGAGCGCTTCACGGTTTGTAAAAGCGCTTTTATATTGGTTGACATCATAATAGAAAAGACAGTGATCTTATCCTCTTTATTTTGCTTATTATGGTTTTTAGAGGCAGGGTCTTGCTAAGATGGTTCAGCTTGTTTTGAACTCATCGTGTAGCCCAGGCTGACCTCAAACTCACAGCAATCCTCCTGCCTCGGCCTCCCGAGTGCTGGGATGACAGGCGTGCATCACAAGGCCCAGCTTTCTTCTTTTGGAACCAGTGAGGAAACCGAGGCCACACGGCTGGTTGGGGGTAGATCCTGTGCCATAGTCAGGGCCCAGTGCACCGGGCCCATTGCACTCCCCAGTCCAGGAGAGACAGGAAGCCCAGCTGCTAAGCAGGGGCAACTTGAGTTCCGAGCAGAAGTGGAAGGCCAGGAGGCTCCCTATGCGCCCCACAGGGTTGCGGGGGGAGCCCTGAGGTTGAGGGCCCAGTCTGGGGTGGCCACGGCCTGGAGCCAAGGGTGCAGATGCTGAGCAGGGGGGGATGCAGGGTAGGGAGGCTGTGCTCCTAGGTGCAGCTTCCTGGAGAGGCAGAGATCTGAGGAGGGGGCTGTGGGCAGGGCCTGTGGACCCTCTGGGGCCCTGGAAAGGAACCTGGATTCATTGTTCCTCCCCTCCCTTCTCTACTTCTCCCTCCCTTTTTTCCTTTCTTCTGCCTTTCTTTCTTTTGGTCACTGAGTCCTGAGTGCTTACTGGGTGCTGGGTGCTGTGCTGAGTCCTGGGCCCAGGGCAGGGCACAGAGTAGCACTTCTGTTCTAGCCAGGTCTTGGAAGTCTTCAGAGCGGTGACGGTTTGAGGTAAACTTGGTTTGCTGGTGAATTGAAAGTAGAAAAGAGAAAAGAGGCCACACTGGTTTTGGGGTGAATCAACCTGGGGAACTGAGGCGCCACCTGCTGGGGTGAGGCTGCCCCAAAGTCACAGTTATCACTGAGGGGTGGCTCCCCTAGGGGACACAAGGACAGCAGGGATTGGAAGCTTGGTGTGTTGGAGCTGGAGGGTAAATGAGGACAAAATGGGGCTGCCTAACGTCACCTGAGGGCTGGGCAGCAGCTGGGGACACAGAGGAAGTGGGGTGGGTGTGGGGGGAGAACAGATGGGCCTCGAGGCCCTTAGGGAATGAAGCTTTCTGCTGTGGGAGTAGGAAAGGGGAGGTGACAGGGGGGAGGGGGGCAATGTGAAAATCTTCTAGAAAACCCCACTACTCAGGAGGCTGAAGCAGGGAGATTGCCCAGTGTTTAAGGCCAGCCTGCACTATAGACCGAGGCCCTGCCTCAAAAAACCAGAACCAAGCAAGCAAACAAAAAAGTACAGCAGTGACCAGAGGGACAAAAGGAAGATTTATTGTAAGACTGCAAAGACCTGAGTGTGCTTCTGGGTTGAGGGAAGGAGCCATAGGGAGAGTGGGTGACCGGCCTGAGAACCAAGAGCCTGGGGCGGGGGTGGGTTCGGCCTTGGGGAGCGATGGGAAGGAAAGAAGCCAGAGTGGGCAGGGAAGCTGCACAGTACACAGCCCCGGAGGGTTGGGAAGAAGCTTCCCCGCAGAGGAAGCTGCAGCTGGGACAGGCAGGGCTCATCTGATACCCCAGCTCCCGGAGCCTTCAGTGTCCTCCTCGAGCATCTCGCAGACCCCCTGCTTGGGGCAGCATTCAGGTGACCTTGGGGCCTCTCTCTGCTGTCATCGGACCTCCTCGGGGATCCAGTTCCTCAGGGTAAGGCCGCTCGCTGTCTTTGTTCAGGGCCATGCGATCTGGCAAGGCAAGCGTGTGGGCATAAATTATTGAGGAAATCTCAGGTTCTCCATAAGCTAAGAGCAGGCCAGCACTAACCACCCGACCTGGGGACAGTCTGAGACGCAGGTTGGCATGGAAATCACCACCCACCAGGCCCCCAGCCCTTCAGTGCAGAGCTGTGCGAAAGCCCACGCCCACTGGACGGCTGCTGGGCTGCTTCGAGGCCTCCTCATAGGTTCCCACAGGAGGCGGGCAGCCAGGACCACGCCTCTTTGCTGCCCTGAGTCCTCCAGTGCTTTCTGGAAAAGAGAAAGCGAAGGTGTTCAGCCGTGCAAACGCTCTGACCAACACTGGTTACTGGGAGGCAGCTGGAGAATTTGCTGGGATCTGCAGCGGCCTGCTCACTCCTGCTGTTGTGTGCTTTAGGGTTTAGCTTTCTCTGTGTGCCCAGCTGTGCAAGTGCACGTTTGCAGGTGAGTGTGGCTGTGTACGAAAATGCCTGTGTGCACTCGTGTTGGCCCTTCATGTGTCGGGAGCTGTGTGCAAACACGCTGGCGTGTTTACTTGGCACCCCTTCCGCAAACACGCTGGCGGTTCAGCAGAAAGACATCAAAATAGCCATTAGACACCGACCCGAGTCTCACTATTTCCCTGGTTTTGCACTCCAGCATCCCAGCCTCCTTCCCTCACTGGTGGGCCAAGAGCCCCCCGAAGCGCTTTTTTGTGCTGTGCTCAAGACAGCACCAAGGATTCAGGCTCTCGAGACTCCCACTGGATCTCCATCTTCACTGGGCTGGGCCAGGCCAGGCCCTGTATTGAGAATGTGGTTCAGAATGAGCAGGACATGGCTTTGTCTTCATGAAGCACACACCTGTGCAGAGAGAGTTGCATACTTGGGAGAGATGACAGAGAGACGGGCAGCCAGGGCACATTTGCCTGGGTCAGGGAGGTGGCATGGGACTGCTTGTGACAGCAGGCATCAGGGAGCCTTCCAAGCACAGCAAGAGAGTGGTGGAGACAGCATGAGAAAGTGCCAGGCTGGGGTCCCGGGGTCCACACCGCTGCCTCGCTGTGCAGGAGACCAGCTCCCAGCAGGAGATGCTTCAGAGCTAGGAATCACCTGCCTCTCACCAAACGGGAGGAAAAGAGCTAACATGGGGTTCACAGATCAGGAGGGGGCCACTGAACAAGTAGACTGGGAGCAGCCTTGTGAGCGTGCAGGTAGGGGTCAGACCCAGAGTCCTTAGGGAGTTAATTTGTTCATTCACTGTCTTTAAAAAAAAACCCACGTGTCTTTTCAGAAATGGGTGCACTGATTCTAATGCTGGGTGGAGTACAAAGCTCCTAGCAACTGAGAAAAAGAACAGTGCTAGAATCTGCGCTACCTGATTTCAAGACTTAAAATAAAGCCACAGACACCGAGACGCAGTGGCACTGGCATCTTGGACAGGCGGATCTCGGGGACAGTGAGGAGTTTAGAAAGGAACCCACAGACTCGGGCCGTAGCTGGTGGGCTCATCCTCCCAAATGTACATCCCTTGGGGCTGTGAGTTAGGCTAACCAGTTCCTGCTGCCTTGAGCCACTGTTTGTTATGGCAGCCCTGGAAACGAGGACAGCACAAAACTGACTTTTGATGGAAGTCAATTCAGTGGAAAACAGTCTTTTTGAAAAATGGTGCCAAGTAATGAGACATGTGCAAATAAATAAATTTTATGTACCCTCCTTAGAATATTTGAAAAACTCAAAATGGATCAAAACCTGAATGTAAAAATCAGGAAATATCTAGAACTCATAGGAAAAAAATCTGGAGCTGGTAACACATGTCAGTAATTCTAGACCTCCAGAGGCTGAGGCAGGAGGATCTCCTCAAGTTCAAGGCCAGCCTGGGTTACATGGTGAATTCGAGGCCAGGCTGAACTACGTAGTGAGACTCTGTCTCGAAAAGTAAATAAACACACTTTGGTGCTTGCTTATGTTAAGCAAAGATTTCTCAGGCAAGCCCCCAAAAGCAGGATGCATACTATAAAAAAAGACAAATAAGACTTCCTAAAACTCTTGTTTTCATGAGATACTATTAAGAGAATGGAAAAGATGAATCACAGGTTACCTGGCAAATAAGCCCATGAAAAGATGCTCAGAATTATTAGCCATTAGGGAAACGCCAATGAAAGCCACAGTACGATACAATGACATGGTGAGAAGATTCAGGAAGGCTGGCATGGCCCTGGCACGAGAGCCTCAGCCAAACGGAGCCCAAGGCCGTTTCTTAGGCAGGGCGCACAGCCGGGGGTGGCAGCACAGTGGAGTTTTCTTTTCTCAACCCCCAAAGTTCTTAGCCGGGAAAGATTCCTGTCACCCGAGGGCAGGTCTACCTGGAAAACAAGTTTGTTTGTTTGCTTTTCACGTGCAGTGCAGGGCAGGAGGGAGACAGGCTGACCTCAGAACCCAGGAATTCTCCCTAACAGTGACTCGGCAGCCTGGCTCCATTCGTGCTGGAACAAAAACATCAATTTTAGAAGAATAAGATGAATGTGAGATCCAGTGCAGGCACTGGGGTCGGAACCTAGGGCCTATGCAACGAGTGCGTCACCAGTCTTTTTATTATTTTTAAATTTAACTTAATGCTTTTTGAGGCAGGGTCTGGCTACATTGCCTAGGTTGGGCTCAGACTTGAGACCGACCTCCAGCCTCAGCCTCCGAGAGCCCTGGGAGGACACCGTGTGCCACCACCCGCCTTCTGTCTACGCCTCCTAAATTTAGGCAGGGTAACTGAGGAGGAGAGTAGGGAAGTAAGGTGTGCCCTGGCTGTCTTTGGCATCGGCTCACACCTGCGCTGGACTGACGGACTGACAAGCAGGCTCTCCGGGGAAGGGGGATTTGTGTTCTGCCTTTAGGTGAACAGCAAAGAGCAGAAAGTGCTTTTGCATGTGGCTCAGTACTTTTCTTCCTCCTCCTCCTCCTCCTCCTCCTTGAGTTCCCTTCACGCCTGTGGTCCAGCTGTTCCACGCTTGGGCGTTCACCCAGGAGCAAAGAAGGCACATGGCATCCGGGGACTCGGTGCAACACTCACGGCAGCTTCATCTGGGCACAACCCAAATGGCCCTCAGCAGCTTAATGACCCAGCAAGGGTGAATTAATACCATGGAATACTATGCAGCTCCCGAAGCAGGCTCCTTGATACCTCAGTGATACATGAAGCCCCAGAGAAAGAATCTGGACCCAAGAAAAGTACATAACTGCTCAGGGGTAGTGAGCTCGGCTAGTGTGTGCAAGGCCCTGGGTCTGATCCCCATCACCACACGCACACACACACACACACACACGTACCACTCTGTGTATATGAAATTCTGTAAAATGAAGTGAACTGATAGTGACAAAAGGCAGTTAGGTGGTGGCCTGAGTGGCAGTGGGGGTCAGAGGGGTGCAGAAGGAAGGGTTACAAAGGAGCCCGGGGGAAATGTGTTCACCGCACGTGGTGATGGTTTTATCACTGTAATGGGGTCCTCAGCCACAGGGAAGATGGAATTCAGACATGGGCTAGTTCTCTAGCCGCATCTCTGCTGCTGGTGACCTCTTCTTCAGGGCCCTCTGATGGGGTGGGGCCCTGTCCCAGCTGCTGAGATGTCACCTGTCAGCCAAGGAGACCTTTTTTTTTTTGAGACAGGGTCTCACTATGCAGTTCTGGCCAGCCTTGAGCTTACTGTGTAGTCCAGGCTGGTTTTGAACTTGCAACAATCCTCCTTCCTCAACCTTCCAAGTGCTGGGATTACAGGCACAGCCAAGGATTCGAGTCCATTCATGTAGAAATTATAGATCTGGAGCTGGGGATTTAGCTAAGCGGCATAAGCGCCTGTCTTGTAAGCAGGCAGTCATGAGTTCGATCCCTGGTGCCAATAAAAAAAAAAAAAAAAAGAAAGAAATTACAGACCTGCAGAGCACAGCTGAAATCTCTCCATGTTAACAGCCCTGCACCTCGGTGGTCGGTCCCTCCCAGCCCCTGCTATTAGCGGCCCCCCTAGGCACCCGGAGTAAGCAGCTCCCAGAGGCCTTGGGCGTTCTCTCAGACCAGGGACGGCGGCTGCCAGCTATTTTTCATTGTTCTCTGTTGTCTACCGCCAGCTGCCTTCAGTGACATCAGCCCCAGCTGGTGGCTGCTCTAGGCCCTGGTGGCCTTTGGAGTGACCCATTCCTAGTGTGCCAGCTCGAGTGCTCTGCTGGAGATAGAAATCACAAACAGGCAAACACAGGCCTTCCAAAAGCAGCTTTTTCAGAGTGTGTGCTCTAGTGTGGGAGCGGGGGACAGCTCGCTGACTGACCCGCTAAAGACACGCTGAAGCTACTTATCCAGGCGAAGCGGCCCCTCTCGGGCTCAGGCTCGATGTCAGGCATTTTGTTTGGTCGCAGGGAGAAGCCCTAACTGCAGAGGAGTGGGCTCATCTGGACAAGAGGCAGGGTGGAGTCGCCTGGAGACCGTAGCTGATGGTCACCAGAGTGACATCTCCCTGCCGGGCCACCGGGCCCTGATGCTGCAGCACTGGCCTCGAGGCATTTGGAGCAGTTGCGAAGGAAGAGAAGGAAAAAGTCCATCTGAGAACTCACAAATTGTCACCATGCCGGGCTGAGACTTTTATAAGTACATTTTTAAAAATTATACAATGTGAAATACTTGACAGTATAAACCATACACTTCAAATGAGTAAGATAGCAGATTTTATACTGTGTGTATTTTATCAAAATTGAAAAAAAAAAAGAACTTTTAAGGAAGGAAGCAAGAAAATATGGCTGTGAGGGTCTGCTGGAGCAGAAGATGGGACAGCTTGCAGTCACATTCATGGAAGCCCCTGTGGAAAGTCTTAGAGGCGGTTAACTCTTCTAAGAAATTTCAAAATCTCCTCTCTGCCCGGTCTACCTTGTTTGTGTCCAAATATGAGTTCAGTTCCCCTCTTTGGCTTCTAGAAACTCCAGTTTGTGGTGAGCAAATGACCACAAATTCAAATTATTAGCGTGTAAATAATCGGGGACCTGAGCAGCTCTTCCGATGAATGGTCACTCAGCACCCCAGATGCTTCTGGACGCAGCACCTCCAAGGGGACTCTGAAGCCAGTAACCCCAGGCCCCTAGCCGGTCCCCTTCCTGCCCGGCCTGAGGGAGGCTGTGTCAGTGATCAGGGCCGGTGTGAGGCTGCTGAGGTGGCTGGGCCAGGTGAGCTGGACCCCTGCAGGCTGCAGAGAATCACGGCTGCTGTTTCTACGGTGCTGGGCCCGGCCAGCCTGGGTGTGCCAGGGACACACTGCCGCTCGGTGTGAAAACACACCGAGT